TGTATACGTATATAAAAAGAACATCCAAATTTGACTTCGTATGAGAAAATTATGATTTTTCCAAGTTTCGAATATAGCAGCAGACAACTAAAATACTCGAAATAGAGATCGAGAGATTTTTAGCCGATACAACCTAAATGAGAATCGAAGATCTCAACAATAGTAGCACAACGGTATAAAGTCTGACGAGAACGGACCTCACATGAAGAAGCTATGGATTTTTAATGGACTTTTGTTGTCCAGGCCCATTAAAAATAAATAAAAACAAATAAAAATAAGAATAAATTCTAAATTTGCCGACGGAGTCTAAACGAAAGTTAGAGAGCATAATCTCACCTACGTGTGAATATAAAGAACGTGAAAAACGGAGTTCATACACGGAATATACGAATTTTACAAATTTTTGCCACAAAATCCGAGGCTATCAGGCCTACCACGACGTGGTGAAGAAGCCCACAACGTGGTATTGTGACTGATGGGTACCAGGTTCATCAGCAAACGTCTCGTCAAGGGAAGATGATAGAATCTCTCACCACGACGTGGTGAGGTGTACCACGACGTGGCGCCCAATATAGGGCTATAAATAGCAGCCGAAGTTGTTGGGTTCCATTGCTCATTTCTTCTCCCTCTCATGCCGAAGCTCTACGTTTAAACCCCCCGAAGCCATCCTGAAGCCCCGGTCTTCATATCCAAGTTCCGAAGGAAGGTTTTTCACTCCCAAGATTCCCAAGAATCCCAAGAAATTCAACTTTCCCTAGTCGAAGTTTTGCTCAGTTTTCGTTTCACCTTCTTCTATCTATCAAGTGAGTTCATACCCCTACAACTACGTTTTAAATACTTTATAAATGCTTTTATACACTTTCAAAAGGGGGGGGGTGGGGGAATACAAGTAAATACACGGTTACTCTCATATGGAAAACACTAAGCTTTTACTACACTTATCTTTATATAACAAATCATATGTGATTCATAACTATCATATGAAAACGTTCGCATGCAACACCTATTCAATGACATTTTGTCCTTTAATAGTAAAAACATGTTGTTATACACATATCAAACACTTTATTTATATTTTGGTGTGTAGATGTTCAATAGTGTTATTACAAATGTTATACCTACATACCAAGCTGATACTGCACTAGGGTTTATCATACAACGAATCATACATTGAGAAAAACTATAATAGGTATAGTTTACTAGATATTCAAGAGATTTTACATACTATAAGTACTATATCAAGGAAATACTTTCATATACAAGGAAAAATGAACTTTTCATATTTAAATCAAGTTGATATTAAGTTTTGTGAGACGTTTAGCTTCACGTACTTTCGAGTATGCAGTTAAAGTCCTATATTAAATACCATAATCTTTTGTAGGGAGAGCGTGATACTTGTTTATAGATCTATACGGGATTGACAATCCCGCACCTAAACTGTTAGCTACAGTTAGACCGGCAGGTCTGGGGTGACAAACGTCATAACATACCAATGCCTAAAGAACGTTGTTACAGGCAGTCTGGGTCAATAGTATGGTTATAAAACTCACATGGAGTATTAAAGACAAGTTGATTTACGGGGTTATCCAATGCCTTAGCGTTTTTTTTACATGCATAAATCTACTATTCTAGGCATGAAAAACACTATTGCGTAATAGTTTTTGGAACTTTTTAACTACCATACACTTATGGAAAAAAATATTGGAATTATAGAAACAATGTTCGAAACAATCGGGTCTTAGATGAAGACTACTTTTATACTAGTAGGGAATATGGGATTTTCTAGGAGCTTTCAAACATCTACAAACAAATTCATTCAAATTTATACAAACATTGACATTAAATACTTAAGACCTCACCAACTTAAATGTTGATCTACTCTTTCAAAACTACTTGTATTTCTCAGGGATTCAGTAATACAGGTAAACTTCAGCTTTTGGAGAAGCGATGCAAAGGCGTCAGTTTTAAACTAATTTTCTCATCATATTGTAATTTGTTTTTGAAACAAGTATCATCTAACAATGTAACTCTTAAATTATATATATGATGGTTCTTTTTAGTTTCATTACTATGTATTCAACTGTTACGATACTACATGAAGTCATCCACCGTCAAATGATTCCGCCGTTCTGGTTTGGGGGTGTGACAATAGCAGCGAGTGAAGCGTCGAAGGAGGCAATATGGTTGAAGAAGCTCATAGGAGACCTTGGAGTAGTGCTAGCCATAAAAGATCCTATGGAAATTTTCTATAATAATGAAGGTGTGGTTACCTTAACCAAGGAACCGAGGGATCATGGCAGATCATGACATATTGATAGAAAATATCATTTCATTAGACACCGAGTAGAAGAGAGGCTCCTCGTGGTAAAGAGCGTATCGTCAGAAGAGAACCCAATAGATCCCCTTACGAAGGGACTGAGTAGGGTTAAGCACTTACAACATTCTAGGAGCATTGGGTAGAAGGACGATATTAGTTTGAGTAATTAGATAGCTTTTAGAAACTTCTAATACCAAATTGCAGTTAATATTTGATGGTTAAATAAAGATGTTTTGTTTATAAGTAAAGTTACTATCTTGTGTTAATTATTTACTATTGTTTCACTTTGTATGTTTTGACTTCTTAAATAGTAAGATTATTTAAACGATCCATAGTCGATCATATGTTAGAAGTAGGTGTGAATGAAGACTTTCATGAATTGTCTTGTAGATTGTCTAAGCGTTTAGACATGGAAAAGGTTTATTGCAGCGTTCATGAGTGCTTATGAAATAAGATTTGAGTATTAGATTAAACCTTCGCTCACTTGAATCACTTCAAGGAATTAATCACGAGTGATTGTGAGACGATAATATCATATAGTCTTTAAACCTAGATATATGCTTTATTGTTTGCAAGTTGGTTGTGCATTGATAATGCGTAAACGCATGAGTTAGTTGATGTTATAAAACGCATTGTTGCGTACGATTTGATAAGTAAAAAGTAAAAGCATATATGTCGATGTTTATTTGTTCCTTTTATCCTATAATGCTAAAAGCGATATCTTAGGCCCCTCGATGATTTGATTTGACTTATGTGTCGGGCCCGGTCATAACTGAGTTGATGTCTTCAATTAAGTTCTATGTCAAGCAGATCAGAGATCGAGAAACAAACTGTTGGATAGTAAGTATGACTATGTTCCATGTAATTTTCCACATGATATCTTGAGAACGGAGGACTATACGATCCCTTATCTAAAGGACGTGTCAGATTTGGATAACGGCTTTTGAATGCTACAACTGCTAATCAGATTTTGAAGTCATACATGCATTTATACTTATTATACTTATCCAAGTGGGAGACGGTTAGATTAGTGTCTAAGTTCATAACTATATTTGGTGTGTACTTGACCCAGTTGTAGCATGGTCCTTATGGGTTGCCTTCACTAGGGCAACTTAACTGGATGAATAATGGAGAAACAAGTTATTATGATTTATTAATATATTATATGAATAATATATGAAAGGAGTAATCATGTTGGTTAATTAATATTGGTTTAGAATTAATTATGAATTAATTTTATAGTCAAAAGATATTAACTGAACCTAGGGGATTGGAATTGCAATTATAAGATAATTGGATTTTGGGTTGTCGTTCTCTTAGAAGGGATGGACGAAAGCAACAAAGAATCCCACATTGAATTCATCCAAGGGCTTGCCTCTGGAAGGATCTTTAGATTGCTTAAGGCCTAAGCAATCCAATTAAGGTTTTGACTGAAACCCTAACAGCTAACCTATATAAAAGGTCCTTAGGCTTCACAATTTTGGCTACCACTTGAACCTAGAGATCATAGAGCCGATTTTGAGCCTCTTTCCCCACTCTTCAACGTCATCCAATTGCTTTGGTGTTTGTGATTCATTAGAGGTATCACATTTGAGGTGCTAGGTTCTCAAAAGCTCAAGATCTTCAAGCTAGAATCAAAGGTAATTTCCTAACTTTGTTTAGTTATGATTTTTCAAGTTTTGTATTCTAGTATTAGGGCTTAAAAGCTTTGGATGATTTTCATGTACAATTAGCAAAACCAAGATCCAAAGCTTTAAGGTTTGCATGTGCACCATAGGATTGATCTAATGCTAAAAACCCATCACGAACACTATTAGATTGTCTCCACCTCTCACTTACATCTCTCAAGTCCCTATTTGACAACTACTAAACCCCATTAGATCCTCATATTCTTGACTAGACAACGTGCTCTCTTCTCTCTCTCTCTCTCTCTGTCTCTCTCTCTCTCTCTCTCTCTCTCTCTTTATGTGTGTGTGTGTGTGTGATAGTGCCTCTAGTTCTTTATTCATTCTTGGAAAACTAATCTGACACAATTTATCATCTCTAAAATGGTTTTTTGTTGTGTGTGTGTGGGGGGGGGGGGGGGGGTGGGATTCCAAAAATTACGGATAATGCAAAATCAAAGGGAAAATAATATTAAAATATATCATAGTTGTTACATGTAGCTAGAATTTACCTTTTATAGCTCCTTAATTTACTCTTTACCAATTGTATCAAAGCATTAAAGAAGCTCCACTGAGCCAATCATTCCCCCCACTTCATATTTCCTCCGTCGCTACTGCTTTTATGGATACAAATTATGTCATGCCCTTAACATCCAACACCCACTTCCCAATAAAATTAACAACCCATAATTTCCCATCCTACAAAAAACATGCCCTTGCCACTCTTATTGGTCTTGACCTAGACCGCTTCATCACCAAACGTGCAAATCCCCTGCCCAATTTCTTAACAAAGAATGCATAAAACCAAACCCATAATTCACTCTTTTGTACAGAAAATATCAGATAATTATCAGTGTAATCTTGGGTAGTCACTCAAAAATCATCAAGCCGAATCTCTCTTCTGCAGAAACATCGCTTGAGGTTTGGAATCGACTTAACATTAGCAATGCCTTGCATCTAGGAGTCGTATAACATCCCTAAAATCAAAGCTCACCAAGAACCCTAAAAAGTATCGTTTAATGACTGAGTTTCTCAATGATATGAGAGGCATCACAGATGAGTTGGCCCTTATACAACGCCCAATCGATGAAGAAGATCTCATTGTTCACATCCTATCCCAACTTGGAGACGAGTATAACAACATCATTACTGCAATAAAGGTTAGAGAATAACCACTCTTATATTCTTGGTTGTTTGGCAACCTAACCAACACGCACTCAAAGAAAACAAAGCCAACACTGTACACACCATCTCCACAGTCAATTTTACTCAAAGGTAGTCAAATCGCTTTTCTAATCATCTGGTTCTATTAAAAAATCACATCATTTTTCATCTGGGAATCATTTTTGTAACCAACGAACTTGTGGGTTTAACTCAAATACTTACGCTGGAAATACTCACTCGGGTAAAACCAATATGTTTTGCAATTTTTGTCACATACCAGCGTATGATACAAAAGAATACAGAAAACTAGCCCGTCTTCATTGGGACAACAACATCACTATTGCAAACCCATTCCCAGCTGCTCCAACAATAAATGTTACCATTTCTCAGCAAACATCATCCTTAACTCCATGGTTGGTAGATAGTAGGGCCTTGAATCATATTGCCTTGGATCGTTTGTCACTACAATCGTTTTCTGAATATGGTGGACCGGTGATATCATGTTGGGTGATGGTAAGTGTCTTCCCATCTCACATACAAGCTAAGTTGCACGAATACGGATACAGTAGAGATACAACAATATAATAATATGAAAAAGCATATATATATATATATATATATATATATATATATATATATATATATATATATATATATATATATATATATATATATATATATATATATATATATATATATAAGAAATTCCAAAATATGTAAATCAATGTCTGATTAGTGATTTCTTAATTGGTGAATCTGTGAATGCTTTGCAGGTTTGCTGATTTCTGTTTGGTGATCATTGTGATGAGTGATCGTCTAATCGACGAGGTAGTAAATAGACTTAAGTGACGATCGGCTTTGGCTTGCAGGGTATTAAGTTAAGAGTCGATTAATATAAGCCCATTAGACTTTGTAAAAGGCCCATGCAAACTCTAAATAAAATGGAAACTTGGTGGAAACTTGGAGGATACTGCACATAAACATATTTTGTTTACCAGATACGTCATGGAAACATTTCCTAGGCGTTTCCATGTAGTCTCCGTTTCCATGGAGTATTGCATACGGGAACGGCGACCAAGTTAAAGTTTCCGTGCATCATAGCATACAAGTTCAATCATCTTACCCACCCCTTCTAGATCTGTTTCCATAACCAATATTTTACATTTCACTGTTTAAACAATATTATTTTATATCAGCGGCTAAAAATTGTAAATCTAACCGTATGGTTGAATTTTTTCGTTCCCATATTTTTGTTAAGGATCTACACATGGGGGCGTGCCTATTGTAGGCAGTAGGCGGAGACCAAAATGGTTTTAATTTTGAGTATGTGGATAAGGTGTTGTAAAGAATGGTAAATGGGCAATTGTTATTTAGATTGATGAGAGATACCCCTATTTGGAAGGCATGTGACCAAAAACAAAGTGGAAGATTTATATAGTGTAGAAGGGATAAGCCTATTTTAATAATGTGGTGGTGAATCGTTGCGTTATGCCATTTTGTTTCGGGGTGTGTGGTGGGGTTGTGAAGTGAGATATACCATTGCTTTGAAGGTAAGGTATAAGTCATTGATATTCACCCCATTTTCAGTAAATAGGGAGATCAAGAAGGCGTGGAAGTATTTTTCAACAAGTTCCTTAAACTGCTGAAAAAGGTGAGAAACAGCAGATTATTTTTAGTGGGTACAACCAGGTGTATTTAGAATAGTAATTGACAAAAATAACATAGTAATTATAGCTATTAACTAAATTTCAATAGGCCCCCATACATGAGAATAAACAAGTTCGGCAGCCAAAAATTAGTTTCCAGTTCCTTAATAGAAGCTGAGTAGAAAGCTCTTGCCCATGCAGTAGTAGAGTTAGCCTGGGTGAAAATTTTATTACATGAACTTGGTGTGCCTTCTACACCTATGCCAAAAATTTATTATGACAATACCGGTGCAACATATGTTTGTTCAAATCCTATATATCATTCACAAATAGAGCATGTGACTTTTTCTATCATTTTGTTTGTGAACGAGTTGCAAATGGAAATTAAAAGTTCTCCATGTTTGCTCCTTTGACCAACTCGCTGATGTACTTACTAAATCTCTTTCTTGAAAACCATTTCAAAACATTAGGTACAAGATTGGAGTGTCCTATGGATCCTCAATCTTGTAGGGCCATATTACGCAAAATGCAAAATCTGCGGCCAATTGTAATTCTCTGTTATATATCATTGTACAAACAATAAAATATACATCAATTTCTCAATATCTCTTTATCATAATACCAATAACCCATTTGTTCAATCTACATTTATGTGTGGCTATTCCTATTATAATATTTGAATATCTGAGATTTGAATTTGACAAGTAATATGGGAACTTTAGTTGGCCACGACGTGCTAGCGCTTGTATGAGACGTGCAACTCAAATGAGCCTCACAACGTGATAGACATTTTATGTGAAACCCTAATTCCCGTCTTAAGGCCGTATTTTAGGGAAGTGATGGATTGGGTTTCTTCTACACTCATCCTCCATCAGTTCCAAGAGCCTTGAAGAAACCCTAACCCCCCCCCCCCCCCCCCCTCTCACACACATTTGAGCTTTATGAGATCATGAAAATGCTTTACAATGATGACTGATTTATTGGACTAGAATATTCCCTTGTATGAGAGTATTTCCCTCCACTAGTATATAAAATAGAGGTAAATGATCATTTTATTTATGAGTACACCATGTAGAATTTTAGAGCGACAGAAAATGTTTGGCTGTGCATTCTCCCTAACCATGAGAGTTGTTCTTGTAACATGTTTGCTCTCTCTATCTATTCATAAAATTTTACTCACATGTTTATGTTCCTCATTGTTCATACAATTATTTTCTTAATATTATCTTTATGCACCAATACAATCAAGAAAATGGGAACGTACAAATGGTATTAGAGCAAGTCCTTGAAGATGTAACTGTAGTTGTTATAGATCGAGTATAATAAACGAAATCAAAGTTTAGATTGAATTATGAACAAAAAGAGTAAATAAGAACTGGATGGCTCGATTAATTCTTCTGAAAGATACAGATAAACTTTAGAGTAAAGTAGCAAAGGCTCAAAAGTTACTCTAACTCTAGTACCTATCTCCTATTTATAGGGATTACAGAAGCATACAAAAAATATAGAAGGGCATATACAATAACGCTTCAACACTAAGACGTGCCATTATGCATACATAGCAGACTGACTTCGAAACTAACACAAGACAAAGGATGCTTTAACACGTCAAAACTAAATTTGACATCAACATTCTCCCCGTTTGTGAGCGATGTCAAATCATAAGTCGTTAGTATTTAAGAAGCTTGATGTAAAACTCTTCTTATATCTACATACCACATGATTGTCTTTCTAAACTCAGCTTTGTCACCATCATTGCTCAGTTTGCAATTATTCATACGAACTAGAAGATTTGTATACAGAGAGTTGGTATATTTTTCGACATCACATATTTGAAACAAAAATTTGGTATTGTTCCTTTTCTTTATCTTCCTAATGAATACTATCCCCAATGGTTTCACATAGATCTCTCCACCAACAAAAATTTTACGACCCCCTTTCACCCTTCAACATTGATTGAAGCAGATAAACTTGTTTACCCATTGCAAGTGCAAGTTCCATATTTGTCATTACAAGACAATTGAAGTAATTATCGATGAACATCTTTTATGTATGCGAACCCAAGTAGAAAAATCTTCATTATTGGTTAACTTAAGCTTCTAAACATATATGCACCTCAAGATGTTAGCAAAATTGATGAGATCATTGATATTCATCGATGGAAAATCTGCAACTGAAAAATCGAATGCTATCGAATAGAACATCCTTTGAGATATTCAAAACTTTCACTATATTCACCAACGACCAAATTTATTCTTCTCTTTTTCCAAGAACATCATGAAATCTGAGCTTCAGCCTCTTATATTCTTCTTTATCTTCAAACATAACAACAATTTGATATTAAGCAGAAATAAAATCATTTTGTTGATACGAAAATCCAACTGATTAACATTAACGTTGTCAATCAAAACTCTTTTTAGGAACCTTAGCAAATTCGTGCATGACTCCTCTGAAAAACATAAGCTTTGATTGTTTCATAGCAGTAGTGTTTTATTGGATCAACCTTCTCAAGACTAGGAGGATCACTTTGTCTTTGTCGAAGAATGCTTTGAATTTTTCTTTGCTTCTCCATTTCCTGCTCTAAAGCAAGCTTCTTTTCTTCTGTAGTTGGTTCAGTCAAAATACCCTTTCCTTTTCCCTTCATATCTTTTGTTGATGAAAGTGGCTTCGAACTTGATCCACTAGTAGATGAACCAATTGCAACTCCTTTAGTTAAAGGTTTCGAAGTCGTGGTTGTTGAAGTAGTTGTTGTAGACATAGAAATTGTAGTAGAAATTTGTGTTGAAATAAGCTTCCCAAAAAATTTGCCATCATCTTCTCCTTTAGATAAACCACCACCAACAAAGTTTGACGATTACATACCAACACTCGATTTCATGGTAGCACTCTTTTCTCCCTCTTGCACCCATGTGTGAATAGGTGGGGCATCAATTGGAATTAGATGAGCAAGTTCATACGTGGGGCCAATTCAGCCTTGAGTGTGGATTCCAAAGATAAAATCTTATGAGATAAAGTGTTTGGAGTAGTCGAAGACTATGACGAAGACCCAAGTTTAAAACTAACTCTGTCAAACTTGCTAAGAGTTCTTCAAATTCGCAAAATTTTGAGTATTAGACTCAGACTTTGTATTAACTTTGAGAAGTGTAAAATTCAATAATCTTAGTCACAACAACAACAATGTAACAACCCGATATTTCGGTTCTATGTAATGACTTAAAAAGTCAAGTATTGTAACCACTTTTGAAAATAATGAAATTAACTTTAAAAATAAAATGTACAAAAGTCTCAATTTTGGTTACCTACTATGTTAGATATCACTAAACCGGGAGTGTACGTAAAAAGAACATCCAAATCTGACCTCGTATGAGGAAGTTATGATTTTTCCAAGTTCGGTATAGCAGTAGACAGCTAAAAACTCGAAACAGAGATCGAGCGACTTTTGGCCGGAATGAACTAAATGAGAATCAAAGGTCTCAACAATGATATTTCAACGGTAAAAAGTGTGGCAAAAACAGACATCACATAAAGGCGTTATGGATTTCTAACGAACTTTCTTACCCTCACCTTTTAAAAATAAATAATAAAAATAATTTCAAAATTTACCAACAGAGTCTAAACGAAAGCTGTAGAGCGTTGTGTCACTATGCTTGGATATAAAGAATGTCGAAAATGGAGTTCATATGAAGAAGATATAAATTTTTGAAGTTTACTAAATAATAAAACTATAAATTTAAAACAAAATTCAGTATTATCCGAAGGGGGAGTCACCGGCCAAATCCAAGTTACACCCGGTGTAACAGCGAACACCCAGCGTACGCGAGGACTAGGCCTCGGATCGTCCACGTCACCCCGTATGCGAGGCTATGCCCATCCTATCTGAGCTCTGAGGCAGTCGAGGATGCGGTCATGCATGACACACGCGTACGCCAGCATACCGAGGCGGTTCCCAGCCCTTATAAAAGGGATGCGAGGGTTCCGGGGAAATTACTCATTTTCTCTCATCTTTCTTGTGTTTTTTCCGCGTTTTCCGTGCACGTGATATCCCAAAGCCCCGGTTTCCATACTCAAGCCCTGAAGGTCGTTTGTGCTCCCGAGATTCCCAAGATTACTGAGAAAATATGCTTTCTCGAGTCAAAGTTCTGCTCGGTTTTTATCTTGCGTTGTTCGATCTTTCAAGTGAGTTCATACCCCTATAAACTACGCTTTTAAATGTTTTATAAAGTCTTTTTATACAATATTAAGGGGGAAATGCAAGTGAAACACGCGGTTACTATCGT